GACCGAGCGAAATTATTACATGCGTATTTAGAGTTAGGAGTAACCATTTTAATCGTTATCGCATCCATAATCGCAGTAAGTTGCATAATCTGCGCATATAAAGTGTGCAGTGAAAAAGACCGCAGGTTCGAAAATATACCAATTCAAGAACTGAATCAACCCTTAACTCCTCAAAAAAGAATCACTTCCCACCCATAGCAGTCCCACTCCAAGAATCCGAAACAACAGACACTCCTCCAACTCTTCCCACTTTCTAAAATAAAAAAGGGTATAAAAACACTAACATACCCCCGCTCCCCTATCAGACACTCCATAAACCAGCACGATGAAACGCACAGTAACTACCACACTCGGCCCGCCGTGCAAGAAGGCCAATAGATCCTGGACGACGGAACAGGTGTTAAACAACCGGACGTCGACAGCAACTTTGGAACGACTAATCACAAGATGGGAGAACCGGGAGGCCCAGATGAGTATGCAACATCCTGAGCTACCACTATTGGACGAAGATGGAGGCTGGAACCATCACCAGCTGACGCAGTATATTTTCCAGGAAGCCTATTACGGACACCTGCACCTAAAATTCCTCTTCGAGGAAACCTATGGAGGAGAGGGATTCGGACGAGCCCCTTTCAATCCATGCCGTGTGTGCGAACAAGACACCGCACATTGGCAGGGGTGTTTCTTCTGCCGGGCGCGCATCGCAGCCGCTCCAAAAGACCAACAACTGGCCATGGAGGCCGAATGTGTCCGCCCGGAGCATGTTATGCTCAGTAATGCTCCTTGTGCCAGATGTATCAGCAAGGAGGTTTTATGTAGGTTCCAGAGGAGTTTGCAGATTCATCGTTTGGAATTGCTGTAATCCTATCCCAAGTCCTTCCTATTCTTAGAATAATTAAATAATAATAATAATAACAAACAAAATAATAAAATATATATGTAATAAGATATAAAAAGGGGGTATATATATATATATATATATAAACTAACACAAAAAATATTTAACAAATATGTATGTAGAATGATAAAACACAAAAAAAAGATAGCAAAAATATATATACTCCAACAAAATAGTTATAGTAGCGCTCGGAGAGCGCTAGTCCCTTGCTTTATCAGCAAAGGACTCCGAGGGGTGGGCATGTCACGTCGATACAAAAGAAAAAGTACGTGACGAATTATGATAAGTAAATAGCGGGTTATGGTAACAAACTGGGTATCGGTAATTTAATTTCCTATCGTATCAACCCTCCCGGGAACGTTTGTAAATCTATCTAGCAGGATAGATTAGTCTAAGCACGTACTCCATAATATTTCCGCAAATATATTACTCACCGCATATTAATTCGGCGAAAATACAGGAAGGGGCACATCAGCCTATGGTATAAAAAGGCTGGATCGGGATCCGCAAAAGTCAGATCAACAGTTCAGAGCAATTTAGTTCGCACAGCATACGTTTCGCGCAGTACTCGCTATCCGGCTACTCAGAACCGGAGTTATACTCTGCTAAGCATTATAAAAATTGTCTTTAAACAATAAGTCTTAAATCAAGCAATTAATTATTATCATATAATAAAGGTGCTATCCCTTTAACCAACCTCTGCTTAACTCCTAACTAAGATCCAACTTTTACCAACGCGACAGTATTTTATACATTATTACGTCTAGCAGTAACATCTCCTCGCATAGACATAACACTTTTGAATAGCATTGACAATAGTTCTCAAAGTTGAAACTTCATAGTCCGTTCGATAAATGGGTATTAAAAATGGTTCGTCAGCATTTATTTGTTCTGTAATGTATCTAGCAGCTGCATGAATTTCTGTAGTAATACAAAAGGAGAATGATTTATAAAACAATGCCAGAAAGAATCAACATTCATACAACGAAAACCTTAACTTACTTTATATTATCCATGAGTACAGAAAATTTTCAATAAAATTGAGTTTTTGAAGTCAAAAATTTGTCAGTATAGAATCATTCCTGGTAAATATTTTTTCAATTCATTCTTCAGTTCCAAACCAGAAATATAAATTTAAGCGATTAATTCTTAATTCATGCCATACAATATTATCACATTATATGTACCACCATTAATGTGAGTAATTTTCATTTCATCATGAACTAATACAGTCTTAACGCCATTGTATACAATTAGCTATGAAAAATTCATTTAGTTTGCAAGCTTCTGTACTATTCAGACCAAATACCATATAAATACCATAATAAAAAGCAATGGTCTTTTACATTTTTTAATTCTGTATGACCTTTAAAATTAAAAACATTTAATCTTTATTACAATAATCAACTGCACATGCTTCAGACATATTTTCAGAGTTTTTACCTGAAATTGCATATTTTTTCTTGTGAGAATAGCAAATTAACATTCTCCCTTGTTCTCTATTATATGCAGCTGCTTTTGTAAATGACCCAATACATGTGTATGAATATACCACAAAATTAGATGTGAAAGATTCTAATTCATTGGTCCATATTCAGAAAACAACAATAGTCTGAAGTGATCCACTTTGTATACAATTACTGAAAACCGTTGTAACGGAGAATTACGGCCCGGCCATTGTTCTCCGTCAGGCTCTCACTGATTTCCGTGCGCTTTGCCGAGCTGAGAGTGTGTGCTAGTCGAGCACACTCTAATCACTCTGTCCTTTTTGCTCCCTTTCTTGAGGTGCGACGGTAGCGGCGGTGATTGGAGGGAGCCGGCGAGAAGAGCGCAGTGAGAGAGAGAAAGAGAGAGACGGAAGATAGGGGAGAGCCAGCAAGTCGTCGGCAGACCTGCGCACGCATCTCGCTGGCGAAAAGAGGAGAAAATCGGCAGTAGCTGTTGAGTAGCCCGAGCCGCGCGCACACCTTTCTTTCATCGTTTTCTTCTATTATTTGTGTGTTCCGAGCTCCAGCGCCCTCGCCGAAGACTTTTCGAGGATACGTGCCCGGTGCGCGGAGTGACAGTTCTTTGGTGCATTTTCCGCGAGTGCAGTGAGGCCGGCACCGATGCACGTCGGCAACCGGCGAGGTGACGCGGGCGTGAGCGCGCGTTTGGCCATTGTGTAAGCCACGATGAGTGTGACCTTCTCACCAATCCATCTCGGGGGACGAGACACGGTGCAGTACACACACACACATACACATTCATCGATCGCCAGACCACATACACATACACATATCCAGAGGCTACAACCACGACACAACAATATAACAACGAAGACAACAAAGCAACAACAGAACAACAACAGAGCAACAACAGAACAACACCAGAACAACAAAAGAAACACATCAGCAACAAGAACATCGCTGCGTCCCGATTAATTGAAATCCAAGTGCGCGAGAGTGGTTATAAAGGAGTTTCTTTGTTTCTGCAGTATTTTCCCTCTTCAACGAAGCCAAGGACGAGCAGAGTGATTTGGGGTCAACGTGAGGCAAGGTCGGTGCGATGTTTTCTCTTTTTCTTTCTCTCTCACTATCCGAGACGTCAAGTAAACTTCGCGGAGCTCGGCAGCTCTGCCGGCTGCGAGACTGTGATTTAAATTTGTTCGGGCGATTTGTTGATCTCTATTCAAACGTGTTTATCCTTTAGATTATCTCTCCTTGATCGGGTAAACAACGATTCGGTGAGCAGCCTTGCAGCCGATCCGCTGTGCGCTCGTACTTACACTTAATTGTAGTGGCGATATTATTTTGTATTTTCTTTTCATCCTGTATTTTCTTATTATTTTGTATTTTTTTTTCATTCTGTATTTTCTTTCATTCTGTATTTTCTTTCATTCTGTATTTTCTTATGATTTTGTATTTTCTCATTATTTATATTTTCTGATTATTTTGTATTTCATTTATTTTAATTTGCATTTCATTTATTTTGACCGTTTTGATTATTTGTTCGCGGGTAAATTTAGTTGCTTTTGTTTCCTTCATCGTTATTATTAAAGTTATTGTTATCTTGAATCTGACTTTAATCACTCTACCCGCAATCACTCCTGATCCCGTGTTCGACGATCCGCGTACGATTAACGCGTGCGCTCGGCGCGATATCCAGTCGTGGGAACGATTCTTGCTTCCCGAATCCTCGAGAAATAATTTGTACGAGCGGTCGCGAGCCATCCACAGAAGGACGACTAAAATTCCCCGTTACACCGTATTGATTATTTTATAATCTTTGAACAAAGCTATTACCTAAAATAAAAAATCCAATTCTACTGTATTTATCAACTTTATATAGAAGTTATAGCGATTAATTTATAAAACTAGTTAGATGAACTATGATACATCTAGTATAATCACTGTGTTTCAAAAGAGTGAATTCGCTCTAGTGTATTATAATTGAAAATTCTGATCTGCACATTATTGAATATAACATTAATTATGTTAGTATAGTATACCAATATAATTAATTAACTTACAAAATTATCTATTCGTACAGCCTTTACAGCTTTTCAATAAAAATGTTTTCGCGGAATCTTTTTTGAAAATGTATCACTGAAACTGGAACGAGAGATAGAACAGCTAACTGCGTACGTACAACGATATAGATTCGTCTCGACTTCATGAAAATGAGCAACGTTGTTCCATGCCGACACAATGTCTTAATAATCTTTTTAAATGCGCAAGAGTATTATTTTATTTTAATTAATTAAATGATAAACTTTTTAATAATTTTATGTTGGATGCCAATAATGCGTGAGACGCACTAACGATTGGTATATTGTAAGAAATTATTTTCATAATATAAACCACTATATTTGGAGAATCAAAATTGGGTGCTAGCGCCAGCACCCATAATTAATTTTATCTTTTTTTCACATAAGGGAAATGAGCATAATCGACGCACAAACGATATATGATTAATTAAAAGCCGCCCAATCGAATGGTGCTATTAGTTTATAAATTTATTCAATATTTCAATTATTGGGTGCTAACTTTTAAGACCTCCCTGCATTAACTATTGAGCTCACTATCCTTGTTTTACCTATTTACGTAGCCATCTTTGACACGTGAGCCTCAATTCTATGCTACTTGTTCCCTAATCAAATAATTTTTTCGTATCTTTAATATTTTTTACTTCTACAACTTTTGTTTAGTATATATATTTGTATTGAGAGATTGATTAAAAATATAATTAGTAGTGATTTTTCAAAAATTCGTTAAATATGCTTTCTAATAGTGAAATTAATGTGTTTTGTTATTAGTTTTTATTGTAAGGTTTTCTATGCCGTCATTTAATTTAATCAGCTTGAAATCTTTATTGAAATAATTAAGCGCTTGTAAAATCAAACTTAGATATTTAATCTTATCGTCTACATAAGTTATTTTGCAAAACGACAATTTTTCCGTTAATTACGAAATCGAAAAACAAATGGCAGTTGTGATAAAAATGATCATTTGTGTTTCTGTTAGTTTATTTTTCTTTTATTTTGTACAAGCAGAACAAATATACAGCAAATTTGAATATAAGTATTCGTTTAAGCCACCTTATTTGGCTCAAACAGATGGCACCGTTCCATTTTGGGAATATGGTGGTAGTAAGTATTTTTCTTTTGTGGTACCAGACTAAAATATAATGATTATATACATATAATCTATAAGTTGTATCAAATTTTATTTTTAATTATATAAGTTATGTTTGATTTTCAAATAAAATTTTAATTTATATTTATATATTTTATTCAAACTATATAAGTTATCAACTATAATTTATTTGGTCATTATTCATATACTAAAAAAATACATTGTAATAAATGGTGTAGTACATTCTCAATAATTAGTAAACTTTGTAATCAATTTGTTGTTTTATGTTTCAAAAATATTATTTCTTATGACTAAAATTGTACAATTGTATTAAAATTGTAAAATTGTATTATATTTCCAGTACAAAGTTCATTTGAGGATTCATTGATAGTGATAAAAATTTATATATAATTCAACAATAAAGAGATCCTTAAAAATATTTTGCTTGATATTGTTAACATTGAATTTATTAAATGTCTAACAGTATTAACTTCTGTATGTAAGTCTGCATCAGGATTTATTAATTTTTTTTAATATTTTTATGTAGAAAGTTCTATATTCAAAATAATTATAATATTAAATTCAAAAATCTATAATATAAAATTTTTAATAACAATGTGAAGTATGCCATACAAAAGATAGCTGGCATGATCTTAACAAAGAATACATATGGATATTTTTTAAATTAAACAGACACGTATAATTTCACACATTTATTCTTACAATTCAATCTATGCAAAATACATATTAGGTGTTCTAGTCGAAAATGAAATATTTATACAAAACTTTAGATGAAATCTGCAGCTTATTTTTTCACAACATACATAATAATTAGACTTCAACAATATTTTGGATAAAATTATAATTTTACTTGGACATATGACTTGGGTTTCATGTTAATATCCAATGATGGATATTGATATGTTGTATACAGAGATTTCTTTTCTAGTAGAAAGTCTGTGTGATTTGTTACTTTTTCTTAAGTAATTTACTATTTAAGAGAATAGCCTACAAAATTTGTAAAATCCATTTTACTCAATCAGTTTAAAGCTATAATTGAATGTAATAATTTTATATAATTTTTTATATTATCCTTAAGTATAGACAATTATTATAATTAAGTGAAAGTGAACATTAAATGAGCATATATAATTGCAACCTATTTATGCTTTTATTTCAGGGGATGAAACAGAGTTGCATAACAGACAAGTTCATATCTATTAAAGCATATTGTGGAATCCGTTACTTTTGCTTAATACATATTTTTTTGACAATGAGAGTTATCAACCCATGTGTTATGATATAAAGGAGAGTGAATAATTGTGCTAATTTTTATAAATTATTAATATATATTATAACTGCAAATTATTAACGTATAATGGTTTCTACTATGAGCGAATTTCGTCCAATATCCTCTAGTGGGATTTTATGTGTAGAGGGTGAGAACATAAGTGTATGATGACTGATTAACATAAAGAAGTGTTTATTCGCTTGGAATACAGAGGTAATTTGACAAGCCGCAAAACCATTCGTCCTCGGTTTACGGTCGCTCCAAAACCAAACTACTTTCTTGCATTCTTTCTTTCATGAAACTCCTCATACGCTTTTCGACAGACGCATATCATACACGTTCATGCATGCTTGCTCTCGACTCTCATTCTTACACCTTAAATACCCAACTTTTGCACATAGCAATTGATGGTCACAACTATGATTGTTAAATCATGATAATGTTAACACTGACAGATCGAATTTCATGGATGATTACGTGTATAGCTAAATTAAAGCGTAACGTTATGATCGGTCAAACGCATATTTTTAATATAAAAATAACACTTTTTGAGATATGGCCAATTGATTAAAAAAAATGTTAATAACTTTTTGAAAAATTGATGTTAAAGTATTGTTTGCTTAATATCTTCAAAGTACACCCTATGCGTAATTAAAAAAAATTCATTTCCATAATTTAAATGGTTGCGGAGATATAAATTTTTGAAAATTTTTCGTCAAAAATGTTCAATTGCTTATAACTATTGATATAATTGTCATAATCATCTAATAATCCATGCTTAAATACGCTACCAATAAGGTAACATGTAGATCAAATTTCAAGAAAATCCGAAACCTACCCCTGAAAAGTTGATCGTCATAGTCTGGAATGTGCTATATCTACTTCCGCAAATACGAGGTCTATCCGGAAAGTATCGGGCCTACGTTTATATTTTCGTGCTAGCGTTATTCTTTATCATCTGGTGGGTGGCATCCTTCAAAGTAATCCCCACTTGATTGAATAACACGGTTCCATCGATGTTTCCACTTTTCAAAACAGTCCTGGAACTCACTTTTAGGGATAGCCTTAAGTACACTCGTCGCATTGATTTCAACCGTTGTTTTGTTATCAAATCGGTGTCTTTTGAGTGGTTTTTTTAGTTTTAGAAACAGCCAAAAGTCATAAGAGGATATGTTGGGACTGTATGGAGGTTGTCGAAGCAATGCGTTATTGTGTTTGCTCAAAAACTGTTGCACAAGATTGGATGAATGCGCTGGCGCATTATCGTGATGGAGAAGCCAGTCACCACTTTCCCAAAAGTACGGCCGTTTTCTTCTTACTGCATCACGCAAACGTTTCAAAATTTGAACGTAGTATTCTTTATTGATTGTCTGACCTGTTGGTGCATATTCGTGATGTACAACACCTTCACAATCGAAAAAAAACAATCAACATTGACTTATCATTGCTCCAACTTTGACGTGCTTTTTTTGGTCTTGGCGATTCAGAATGCTTCCACTGTGAAGATTGTTGTTTTGTTTCAGGATCATAACCATAAACCCATGATTCATTACCTGTAATAACTTTTCTAAGCACATTATCGTCATTATAGACCATTTCCAGATTGTCCAGAGTGATTTTTAAGCGATGTTCTTCTGCTCTGCTGTGAGCAATTTTGGGATAAATTTCGCACACACGCGTTTTTTATTTCTAAATTTTCGGTTAAAATTTCTGAAATGATAGTTTTTGGTATCCCAAGGTCTTCTTGTAGTTCTCGCACAGTCATACGACGATCTTGTTCGATTGCAAGTCGCACCCGCTCAATATTATCTGCGGTTTTTGTCCTCGAAGGTCGGCCGGAACGAGAATAACTATCGACAAAAGTGCGACCATCCTTGAACCGTTTATACCACTCTTTTATTCGTGTTTTGCTCATACACTCGCTTCCGAAGGCCTTTTGTATCATTTCAATAGTTTCCGAAATCGTTTTTCCGAATTAAAAGTAAAATTTGATGCAAATTCGTTGATCTTGTTTTTCAGTCATTTTTGACAATATTAAAATCTGACGAACGCGAAAAAGGCACTGTAAACAAAGCTACGCATGAACTATACGTTCGGCAGGTGTCAGTAAGTAACCAATAGATTCGTGAGGCTTTACTGTTGACGTTTCTGTCCGGTAGAGGTCGCTCGAACACTATAGCGCTAAGATATAAACGTAGGCCCGATACTTTCCGGACAGACCTCGTATATGCGTTATAACGTTCGAACACCTATCACCTAAATTTTATGGTAATCTGAAGGTTATAACAAATTATTTACTGAATTATCCTGATAAATATTTATGCTCTCCGTAAATACTTGGTAGAAAATCAGTGTTTGTTATTCACATAAGACGTGTGTAATGCAAAATACGAATCAAATACTATTCACTTGAATGATTAAGCGAACCGATTCCAATTTTCAATAAATTGTAATAAGTAATTGGGTTGTACGATACTTTTGTAACGATGAACATATCGCACAAAAATTTTCCAACGAAACTTAACCCGTTTATTTATTGAGCATTATAATCTGTTAATTAGCAATTGGAATCAGCTTATTTTATAAGGGATTTGAATGAAAATTTCATGAATTAGAAGTTTGCAATATTGAAAGTACAGGCAAATAATAAAAGTAAAAGTTGATCATTTATGATTAATTTTGATTTGATTAGTTCTGTATTATTATTGACACACTATCTGTAAGTATGTACCAAGTTTTGTTTGACTAGCATTGTTTTGTCGGCTGAACGTGAGATTATTAATTAAAATAAATTTAATATTGATTTTTTACTTAGCATATTAATATTTATTGTAATTGCTTGTAGAGCACATCTAGTTAATCTCATAACTCGTATTATCTCCGTGTAGCTTTTGGTGTTCTGGACTCTGAATAATACGTAGTTCTTATTTTTACATTTTCCCTTTTTACATCTTCTCTTTTTGCTTGTTAATTCTTTCAACATTATTGAAGAAACCTCATTTTCAAACAAGTTAGATACCTGTTGTTGATTAGTAGACCGTTATATTTTTTACTAAAATAATATTGGTAAATTGGTTGTAGTGGATGGACGAGCTGTCAATTCAACGTATTTTTTATTTTAAGTTTTAATATTTAAGAGAATTAACGATCTATTGTATCATACTTGTATTTTGTTTTATATTTATTGTTATGATAAGAGTAATTTGGACGTACAAGACAGTGTAGTATAGCAATGTAATGTTCTGGGCCAGGATGTGGTCACATAGCTGGAGAAAGTCTTTTGGTACAATAGCAAGGTAATTTATGAAAATGAAAATAGTTATAAAATATTATTAATAAATTAAGATGTTAAATTAGGGGGATAGATCGGGGAATCAAACCCGCGTTCTTTGGATCGTCAGGCCAGTGCTCTACCATTAGAGCCACTGTCACATGTACGTTGAAGAATCCTTATTGTGTATATTAGCTACACAATTAGTATAGAGCCCGAGCATATGGAGGAAGGGAGCGCGTGCTCGCCCTGGCTCAGCATGTCTTGGCGGTGCGTGGTAGAGGGGAGCGCATGCTGCCTATATATCTTGTAATTGTATTTTCTGAAATTCAACTGCAGACCTTGGAAGTAGCTCCGCAATGTAAATACAATCTCGCATGAGTGGATAGAAAGGACAGTACATGAAATAACTCAGTGAATACAAATCTATTACTATTACATTGTCATCTTAT